AATGAAAATTTGATCAACTTTGATGGTCAAAGCTGACCGACTGTTCTGTAGTGATTCTATACGTGCTCACTGTCCACAGGAATTTGATACGACTGTCTGAATAAATTGTGGATTAATAATCCAATACATCAATCAGCAAATACTTGCAAATGGACTCCTGAAGCAATAACTCAACAAAATGGCTGATTTATTTCTGTAGCCAGTTAGAGGCTCTTTTGTTAAGTTATTAACAGATTGACTGGCACATTTGGTTGTCTATAAATTTCACTGAACAAATTTTTTTCTTTTGAACACTGTTAGTACTATCCTTCAAATTCTAGTCAACTATGCTGTTATTATTGTCGTCACCATTGTTGCTGCTGCGCTGTTGTTCTTGCCGTCATTGTTTTATTTTATAGTATAACTGTATGTGCATCTCAAAAATTTCAGAAAATATATACATTCACTAGACAAAACATTAAACCAGTGTAACATAAAAAAGAAAAAAAAACAAGGGAAAAAAGCAAAAACAGATTCATTGGACGATAACATCTGTCAAACATTTATTAAACTGTAAACACTGGAGTAAGTCCAACTGTTTGTCTGATAAGAATACGTTTGTAACCAAATAACATACAGAAGAAAAAGCAAAGAAATACAATTACAATAAGAGCAATAATATGAGGATAAAGAGAATACGGAATGATCGAAAACAGAATTGTTTCTTCCTCAAATTATCATCTACATCGGCAGCATTTAAAATGCAGACATTCGTTTACTTGCATTTTTTGTAGGAGGAAGGGGGGAAGCAAAAAATAACACCTTTTAGACCGGTTTCTCTCTGCTTAACTGGTATATTTCATAAGAAATTTACTACCCCTCACAGTCAACTAAAAACAACAAATCAATGAAAATAAAATAATAAATAAAGATAAAATTAAATCTGTTAGCAAGAGAAGGAAAGTATAACTGAAAGAACGTACAGACAACTCTATACATAAATATACCTTCTATAAAACGTTCACATCATGATAAAATTAAGAACAAAATAATCCATACCATTCTCATTTTTAAAGTCTATATCATTTTGCAATACTGCAAAAATCCTGTCCCATCGACAGATTTTTTTCTTCTTTTTGCTCCTTCCATCCTAATGTTCTATGCTCTCAACTTCACAACAACGTCCTGATATAAGCACCAAACGGCGGCTCTGTAATCTACAGTATCGACAGTTTCTACTGCTACTTACTCAGGAAGAAAATCATTAACAGAAACACAAAAAACCTAAATAACTGGCCTTAAAATTATAGGAAACATTCCATTTGCAATTACTTTAAGTTCTAGTCCTTTCAACAGAGCTTCCAAATATCATTCATTGACAACCGTTACTTAAAAAAAAAAGCAAGTCAAACGACAATTGGCAAAATACATTTCGATAAACTAGAAACTCTGAAGCTATTCTTTTCCTACACATCAGATTCTTGTTCCAAACATGGATACTATTACGCCAACAATAAACAACACAATTTTTCAAACTGTACTTACTTAGAACAAAGCCGACACATCAATTAGTTAAAAAACCAACACCTCTATCTACACCACGAACATTAATCTACAACTAACAAAGTTCCTCCTATAAAGTTAAAAAAACTAACAGAAAGATTGAAAAATTAAAACAAAAAATACTGGAAATAACATAATGCAGAGAACTTGTTCGATAAATTTAAGGCTTGACAAAGGAGAAAATAAACTAAGCAATAATATACGACAAAGTGGTAAATTAGTTAAAATTCCATTCTCATGCAACAGTCTTTGACCTTCAACAGCTTCGCAATAGGTAATATTGTGCCCGAATACCTAGTAAAACGTTACAGTTGTGTACAACATAAAAAGCCCGTGATTACCATGACAGGCAGTTAAAAAACCTAAATATATACAACTCCTTTTAATGCTCACACCAGTTCTGCCTCGACCAACCAAAAAAGAAAAAAAAAAGAAATAAACATAACAATAGAAACAGTTACTGATACACTTAAGTTCATCCAAACCCCGAAAATTGAATCACCTGTGTCACCATAACAAAAGAACACTCAGTACCAGTATAACAAGGTACTTCAGATATATCGAATAATATGATGAAATTAAATAAGAATTACAAAGCATTGCAGAAGGAAAGTGCATAAATACAAAAAAATGTGAATTTAAACTAAAACCACCTCACAAAATCACAAATTACAGCAGAAAATTCATTTATATCTCTGGCAAAAAAAAAAAACTCTTATGAGCGTTATTTCCTTCGATTGTTGTTGCCAACTGTATAAATAATAGCGGGTATAAAGGAAAAAATTACATTGTCAAAACAGAGCAACAGCCCTTCCAAACTTTCAAATTCCGACACATGGTAATCAATTCCAAAAATTAGTGGAAGCAACATTGAAATCTGAGATATCATCTATCAGCGCTTAACCCAGCTTTGAAATACAAATTCTTCTACTTCATTATGTTCCAACAAAAAACTTACAGTAGCATTAATCAATTAAAGATCAAAATTAATGAAGCAGAAAGGTGCAACAGTTTTAACGTCCTTGTGAAATCATTTGAGATTTGATCTCAATTTCCGGGTTTCGGGTTTCAGTATTTTGTAGCTTTTAAAAACACAAATTTACGAGGGATCCCTAAGCGAAAATGGAAGAAAGCCTTTACAACCGAGGCTACCACACAAGCATTTTCGGGGACATTCCTCACTGTTACTTTTACTGCAACTCGAGAGGCCATAATCGTAAGTCAGTTCCTCGAATTTTGCAATATTCCGATTTGCAAACAAGGCTACATGAACAACTGGAGTACCAATGCGTAGTAAAACAATATCCAAATTAGGTTCACAACTGTGGTTAATAAAACGGGCAACATTGCCATAATGTCGTGCATCAATGTAACTTACTCGGGATCCACCTGTAAGAATACAGCCGTGTCTTCTTTAATTTTGTAACTAATCTAGTTAAGACATGAATTAGACTAAATTATTAATTTTCAAATTGTTTCCGGACAAAAACAAAATTTTAAATCGAACTTTTGTCTTTCACTAAAATTATAAGCAATACAATTGTTTACAAAATATACTTTTAAATGTTTCTTTCACTGTAAAAATATAGTTGTTCAAACAATTTTCCAAAGTCCTCTTCTCGACTTCAAAAGGCCCAATAACTTCGCCTGCATATTCCGCAATAAACTGTCCCTTCTGAACTGAATCTTTACAACGCAAACCAAATCCTTTTTCTGGCGTCAAAAATATCTAAACTAAACACCTATATCCGTTTTAAGAGCACTGGCAAAAACTTCCACTGTTCCTACATTGCAGTAAAAGAGATAGAACTTCGAGCAAGTAAAAAAACTAGGTCTCCTTCCTGCAAGTAGCAAGAAGTATTTTTGGACATCTAATTCAAACATTTGATTTCTTATCAGCGAAAAAGCTGCTTTCGACCTACCGCTTTACCTTTATATCTTCTTCAAAAAATACTTAATTTTTCGATAAAGACCGCTATCGTAGGAAACTATTCCAAATCCTCGCAAACCGGAATTGTCGCTGATAAGATGAGAAGATTGCGTTAAAAAAGGGACTGTGAAAAATTAGCTGACGTCTTTTAAAATGCTGTAGTGGCTCTCATAAAGCACTATATATCAAATGTTTTGAGAAAGAAAACCCTAGGAAAAATGGCAACAGGAATGAACAGTTTAATTTAAAACCATGTTTAAAATGTTCGGGTGATGATTTCTTTCTAATGCTTTCTACCCCTGAATAAAGCATATGAGGTGAACGCAAAAAGCATCGGAATGACAAAGCAGGCTTAGCATTTCCAACAAGTGTTTAGTATAATCCCATTTCACGTAACATTATACAAGGAAGAGATTTTTCTTACAAATAAGGATTTTTACAGATAACCCAAAAATTCGAAAAGCATAAACTGCACGGATAAGTTCTCTAAGTAAAATATGCATTATTGCCCTACTCCCTCAATTTGCCAATTTGCAACCTAATTTTTTTATCACTTCTCCTTCTCTACCCTGGCCGACCAATAAGTTTTTCACAGGATACAAAACTATGATAACTCCTGGCGAAGTAAATAACTAAATAAAACAAAAAAAGTCACAAGTAAAAATAAAAGAAAGAAATATAACAGGATTCACACACTTTAAGTCCTGAAAGTTTAAAATTCATGTGCACTAACTTCTAAAGGAAGTTGGGGTCCAAACTGTACACAGCGGTTGCTACACGGATGTGACCAGTTGGAACATACGCATGAAGTACTACACTCCAAAATAGGCAACTCCACAGCTGATTCTCGAATAGAATTATTGTTTTCATATACATCCTAAAAAATATTAAGAGTTACTACAGTTCGCTAAAAAGCATATATGTTTATGAAAAAAAAACTCACCTGCCGGTAAGGCAAACAAGAACATCTGCTAGCAGCTGAGCAAACATCAAGGCAATTACACCCAACAAAAAAATCTTCAAATTCTTCTAATTGGCATCCATCACCAGGAATCAAAGACGGAACCGAACGGTAAGCGAACATCACAGAAAAAGTGCCAATATCTTTATGCGGTTCCAACCTATGTAAATTTCTAAAAAAAACTCTTTTTAACCATTTCAGAGTTCGTTCCTTATCACAGTCTGGTTTCCGGGTTTATCAACCATGAGATTTCATACACAAAAATTACATTTACTTCAAAAATTATATTTCACCAAAACAAAAATAAAAAAAAAAAAACAGGCTCTTATTAGTGAAAAAATACGCCTTAAAAACTGCAGTATGATCTATTTTGAATGACTGACAAAATTTTTCAAAAGCTGTGAAGTTATACGATCTCCGGTTTGAAAAGGTAACAAGAATTCACTCAAAATACAGACCGCTCCGTAAACTCACTAAACTCCTTGTCATGTAATTTTTGGCTCCAAAAGCATTGAAAGGACGTCTAATAGTAGGCAATATGCTTCACTATATTGCACCAAGCATTCCTGTATGCTCAGCACCATTTGTAAACAGTAGATTTAACTTTTTTCCCTCAGTTATTTCTTAGACGTAGTGTAGATGTAAATTCAGAAAATTGACTGGTTCTTCATCTCTACCTCATTTATTCGTTGTTAATGATGAAAAAATATTTGTGTCATAGCCGAATTCCATCTTCACGCCTACTGTTTATTGTATTATAGTAGCAAAAATATCTAATCCATTAATAATGCTTTTCCAAAAATTAAAATACGGACGTATCTCTGAGCTAAAAATAATTTTACTTTTCTCACTGATGTTCCTCCTTCTGAAAACTATCTTGCAACATAACTTATCAACAAATATAAGAACTAATCTGCAATAATTTGATGTATTTGTTCCTTATCATTTCTGTAACCAACACTTCGTTTGCAAAGTACAATATAAGATCCATTTGTAAAACTTTCTGTTTTCATTTACTTTAACACAATAATTCATCCTACTACAAAAGAATGAACTTGGGAATTAATTACACTCATTACAATTCAAACATTGAGAATTAGGACAGGAGTCTACAGAAGTTCGTAAAATACTACAGGTGAATGAGACATCTACCGAATAAAAAAAAACTTACGACTTTTTTTCGTGGGAAGTACGCTAAAAGTAAAGAAGAGCAAGCCGATCTTTAAAAAGTCCGCTTAATAAAGGACGTGACTCAGTAGTAGGAAAAGTACGATTAAACTTCATTGTGGTTTCGAATTTTCTTTCCAGGAAAGAATGGCCCTGCATTTCTCTGCATGCAGCAAATTTATACTAATAAACGAAGTTGAGAAACTCCAACAAAAACCTCAAAATGAATAAATTTATAAACTCTCAAGCGTCATTGCGGCTACCTGAAATGGAGCTTTTTAAAACTTCTACAAATCTAGTTTTAAAACCGGTGATCTTCACAAGATGATCGAAGTAATGAATACTTCTACTCGACACGTTCAAAACCAAATTCTACTGCCCACTACCTCAGTACGAATCACAATGACTTTCCAAGAAACCAGTTTTATCTTGTGAACAACCTTAAACATTAATAATTTCTGTGGACCCATAACCAACCAAACTTTAACATGGGCAATGTTGCGTTGAAGATGCAGTTCCCGCGTGCAGTGATCTAATTCGTGAATGAGTTCTTCCGGTGAAACAAGACGACTACGTTTCATGCTTCACCATCCAATAAAATGCAAAGCAGAAATCCTCTAATGTTAAAAATAAAAAAACTGCCAAGAAC